CTCGTAACACCAGGCTGAACACCACCAGGATATATTCCGTCACCGCCTGGTCTCGTAACACCAGGCTGAACACCACCAGGATATATTCCGTCACCTCCTGGTCTCGTAACACCAGGCTGAACACCACCGGGATATGTTCCGTCACCGCCTGGTCTCGTAACACCAGGCTGAACACCACCAGGATATATTCCGTCACCTCCTGGTCTCGTAATACCAGGCTGAACACCACCGGGATATGTTCCATCACCTCCTGGTCTCGTAACACCAGGCTGAACACCACCAGGATATATTCCGTCACCTCCTGGTCTCGTAACACCAGGTTGAACACCACCAGGATATATTCCGTCACCTCCTGGTCTCATAACACCAGGTTGAACACCACCGGGATATGTTCCGTCACCTCCTGGTCTTGTAATACCAGGCTGAACGCCACCAGGATATGTTCCATCACCTCCTGGTCTCGTAATACCAGGCTGAACGCCACCAGGATAAGGTAACGTTCCGGGAGCAACGCCACCAGGATAAGGTACACCTCCAGGTATTATTCCCGTTCCTGGACGTATAACATCCGTTGGTGGAACTCGTATTTTATCTGGCGCCATTTCGATACCAGGATATCCAGGACAATCTTCGCAACCGGTACTACCTGACGACATACTTTGTGCTTGGCCTATACCACGACTTCCGCCTAGAAAAAAGATATTAGAAACGCTTCAAAGATCGAGTAAAAAATATCACGCACAACTTCAACAATTAGTTTTTTTACGCAATGATTATATTGTAATGACATAAAAAACAAATAGAAACTGACTGAATACTCACTAACTATTGCATGTGAAGATTGTTGAGTGGCTTCGGCTTCCGCCTTGCCTTGTTTCTGTTCATCATTACCGAAATTTAAATACTGAGATTGCGTTTGTCCACGAAACTTTCCTCGAAATTGGTTTGCTTGCCGACGTTGTCGAAGTTTGTTGAAATTTGTATCTCGTTGCGCTAATGGAATTTGTCTTTTCGCCCGAGTTACTACATCAGTAGCTACTTGTCTCGGAAAACTATCTTCCGGGATTTCGTTAAAAAACGGATCGACAATTTGTCCGGGTACGGGTCTGGTTTCCTGCAGCAAAATCATGGTGCGTCCGTTGCAGAAATCAACGATTCGATCTCCAGCAAGTCGCCACGCCTATGTTTGCAAAAACATATTATTATTATTATTACATTACAATAATGTGTTAAAATAACATTCAATTTATTGCTACCTCCAGTTTTGTAAGGGTTGTCGTTGCATAGAGCAGTGTCTCAGCTTGCAGTTTTTTACGTGATACATTGCGATCGTGTTGCGTATTTCTAAGATAACAATCGTTCTCCTGTTTGCTTTTGTACGCGACAAATTGCTGTTTGAGAACATAAAATCAATTTTATTTATGATTTTTATTCTTTTTTTGCATTTATATCATTAAGACAATGGAATCATTTACCGTTACATCGTCAGTGAAAGACCATTGTTTGTTTGCGTCATCGTTTGCTGTGTTTTTCACTTCGTACTCATTAACAGATCGATCAAAACGTGTCTTCTCCTGTGTAGATGTTAACATTATCGATCAATTAATTTATAAAATATTCTTTTTATTGCACAACAAGATTTTAACATTGACAAAAGGGGATGAAGAAAGAGAGAGGGAGAGAGAGATCGAGAAAGAAAGACAGCGCTACATCGAGAACAAGCTAGGCAATTCCTATCATCTGTTCTTATCTTTATGAACTTCGACCTCCAAATCTTTCTTAAATGGTCTCTCCAGTCGTATGCATCAGCGTGTGTGACCTGTGCCAATAACCTGCCAGAGCAGAATGTTGTAGTAATTGGAACGACACAGATTCAAGAAAATATTTACACTTCGGAACAGATAGTTTGATGAAATGCGCACACAGTTCTGCGTTTGTATCAAGATAGATAATATATGTCTCAGCAATTTTCTGAATTTCAAACGAGTAAGCAAAATATGGGAAACAAGTATCTTAAAATTGTTAAGTTTTGAGAGAAATAAACAAATGTCACATCTTGTTCTTAATATAAACGAATAATAAATTTTTAAAATGAAAATCTGCGATAAATCTTTTTTAAATCACAATGTCAAGTAAAATTTAATTCTTATGTGATTAAATAAAACTTTTCTAATTCTTGTTATATTTATTGCATTTTTTTACACAGGTATGTTTAATTTGGAAGTACCTAAAATTGATCAGATTTTGGAATAATTGCCAACTGATGCGTGTGACAAGAAGAAATAAAATGAATTTGTGACGAGAGAAATTGAAATTCTCTTGAAGACAATGAAAAGGTGCGTCGGGAAACACTTACGTAGTACCTCGCAAGTACGGTACTCGCGAGGAAGATCAGAATGATGAGGTACGGCCGCATGGCTCGAACCTTCTGCGAGACCTTCTTCACGACTGACACGGACCGATGTCTCGATGATGCTCCCAACCCGACTGGATCATACTATTAACTCCCACTGACTCTGCTTGTTTCTTCCTCGTCTCTTCCTCGTCTCTTCTTAACATGCTCGGTCTCATTGCTGGGAATCGTAAGGATCTACATAGCCGCGAGAGAAAGATAGAGAGAGAGAGAGAGAGAAATGAAAAATTGCTGAAAAAAAATTCTGAGAAGTGCGACTATGTGCGTTGTGATGTGTAAGTGCGTGCAGACGCCTTGTATGTGTATCATGTTATCTCGTTTGGTCTCGTCTTGTCACTTCGGATCTCATTACCGAAAAAGATATTGCGTTTCCCATGACTGTCGTGTCTTTGACTTGATGAGCTACGGTCAGAGAAAAAAGAAGAAAAATATTCGAATTTGAACGGCATCGCTGGATGTTGCAAATCCGTCGATCTGTTCGTTTTCGAGAATCTCTTTAAAACCGAAAAAAGGAAAAACTATGCAGGATCAATGTATCAAGGAAAATATTTGTTATTATTGAAAATTTATATATAATTTTTTTATATTTAAAGAATATTAGATCAAAAGAAATACGAGACGAATTTTCACACGCGTTGTCGATGTAAAGATTCATTAGTAATTTTTTAGTTGGTTTTTTAGTTGGTTTTATGAATCCTTTAGAACTTGTATTTAAACTCTTTATAATCGCTCGGAGCAACGACGGAGAGAGATGTGCGTTGGTGTGCAATTTGATTTCACGCCGCTATCTTAGACTAGTAGCTTTCGTTTGGCCTAATTATTGAGTCCAATCTATTTGTTAAACACAGTTAAGTCTCTGTTTATCTTACTACCAGGCGTGGCTAATGATCGCACGGTTCATCGGCGCGATAATGAGTTCAATAAGTAAAAAGACCTAACGCGAGAGAGTGTTGAACGGGAAGCTTTATCCAATTCGTGCTGTGCAAATCCGATAGGAGGTACTGGAATTAAATTACTTTGACACAACAACTTTTCAGCGAGAAGAATCTTTATCTTCTCCCCACACACATACACACGCATACATACAACTTTTGAATAAATAAAAATTGGAGAAGTTCCGATGGATTTCGTGATAAAAAACTCGCAAGTAATTTCGCTAAAAACGATTTGTTCAATTTCCACCAAGTGGACAACAGCGAAAGATAATAAAAAACAATGGAGATCACTGATGGAATGAATAAATCGGTTTTAATAAAATTAAAACCTGGTCCGTTTTTTTGCAACTCGTCCAAAGTGCAAAAAAGGATCGGGGGAAAAAATAGAAAACAGACATTGTCCAAGTATACATAATCACTTCGTATATTATTTTCTTTCGTTACAATAGACAAGACTTTTACAATTCGTACAAAAATGAGAATATATATGTTTTGCGTAGGCACTCCGGTGTACAAATACACAGCACATATTATATATATATACACAATATATATATATATATATATAACTCCACATGCACATAACAGAGGTGTAATACATATACAAATCGAGTTAACTAAAAACGGCTCTACCATCAACGTTTATCTAAAAACTCTAATAAAAGTAAGAGTGTGGGAATGCTATTTACAACGTGCGATCATATAACACGGCTACGTCTTAAAACGCTAGGATTTCGTGTCGACATTCTCGTCTTCCCGGGCAAAGAAAAAAATGACTAGGACGCGCGCGTCCGAGAATCGCTCGTCTCAATAATTAGATTTCTTATATACAAACAGAGAGATTTTCCCTCTTTCTCTCTTCAAACGCGACAATCTTGCTCATATTATTATTATTATTATTACACTTATGCGATTTTTATCTCTAACCGTTCGGCCGCTCGCGTAATCCGCTCGCACGATCTCGCCGTTGAATCTTCTGATAAAGGGATGTGCGCGTCGATCGATTGTTCGACATTTGCGATTAAAATCGGGAGATCGGGAATTCGTCGTTGCAACGACGAATTGCGTTTCGCGACGGCAAAACGGGTTTCGACTAGCTTCACACTCTCTGGATTGGTTACCACAAAACTTCTGGCACCGTAAACGAACGCGAGAAAAAAGAGGCTTATTTAAACATCTATCGAAGAAACGGGCGACCTACACACTACGGCTCTAAACGATGCGCTCGATTGGACGGTGTTCCGTGACGTCACTCCAATCGCGCGCGCGTGTATGTGTGTGTGTGTAACAATATAAGAGTAAAATTTGTCGCATGAGGTACGCGCGTAAATAATTATCGAATCTTAAACTTATTCTTTCGCGACACAAATTGATAATATCCAGCGTTGTGTTATTTCTATTATTTGGCAGACGACCGCATTGTCTGGAGCCGGCTAATCGCGAGCGATTATTGGTTGCGCAGTTCCGAATCACAGATCACATTTTCGCTTTTGAGAGCGTCCCGATGCAACAACTTTTTTGCATCTCGAATATCTGGCGCAGCAACGAAACGGTGCGCTGCGTTGTTTTTTTATTTTTTTATTTTTATGTAAATTTCACTCGGTTTGGACGAACTGCGGGTGTCTCGCACAGAGAATCCGTGTGCGAGTTTGTTAACAGTTGTATATGTATATTTGTAGAATATATATATATAATCGAGAAAAACATGAATTTCTCGTATTTATATGCATTTCGCGAAGCTGATAGCTGCCTCGAAGAAGAGCCTCTCGGAACCGTTTGTCTCTCGTTTAATTCTAAAATAATAACGCGAAGGCACACACATTTGCGGTCCGTGTCGACTATTAATTTTGATCGTTTAACGCCGCGCGAGATAGCGACGTTCTTACTCGTCTTTAAATAGATAAGGTCACGAGTTTGGCGTTTAACAGACGCTCCCATCGGGGCGGCCTTACACCCCGAAGATATCTCTCTCTCTCTCTCTCTCTCTCTCTCTCTCTCTCTCTCTCTACACATTCATCCGCATACCAATTCTGCTGTCGTTGTGCGTCAAATCGTAACACACACGCTTGAGACACGGTTTGCATACACATAAGGCACAGAAGCGTTACATATCGACGGACCGCTAAATTATACAAACACGGTTACTTAAGAGATTTAACGTTATTACGACTAATTGCTAGGTGGTCCCTAATTCGGAAGATGATTGGAATACAATATCTGTGTCACACGCAAATCACTCCGTCGGTTACTTCGCTGATGTCGTTTCGCGGCGATTGCGGGAAGTAATTTCTTTTTGTTACACGAAAATTACAAATGTGTAAGCGCGTTTTGACGACTTTGAGAAAACTTCGAAAATCTCTTCGCAATTTTTCACGGAAAGACGGGGAAAATATCTCAATTGATGAAATATCCCGAAAAAATTCTCGCAAATTTTCTAGTATAAATCTGTCAACGGATCTCGCTTGCTAGAAACGTTTTTTCCGCGGGAAGAGATTGCGAGATCGAATTTCTTTTCAACGCGGTCTGAAAAACCCAATCTGATCTCAGTCAGTTTCGATCGTAACTAAGTTTCTAAGCAATGGCCAGAGTCATCGTGGCGGGTCTCGAGAATGCCGAGGCTCTCGTCGGATCGGTATAATCGAACGTAGCGTTCGAGGTATTCTTGATGTCGTTTTCGTAGCGAAGATGCAGGTGTTCCGGATTCGGTGATATCACCGACGTTCTGATGACCATTCTGGACACGTATTCCGGATCTTTGGTCGTCGGCTCGTCCTCGCAGCTCGTTCTCTCCTTGCAGGCTCGCTTCGAGGGCGTGACCGTGACGGATCTCTCCTCGTCCGTCGTTCTGGTGTGCCTGATGATCGCGGAGAACGCCGACGACGCGCTCTTCTGGTCCCGTTCGAGTCCCAATCGGGGAACTATGACGCTTGTGGGTGACGCGGTGATGCACGGCGTCGTCTGCGACCTGTTCAGAGATGTCGGCGCGCTCGTTGATTTCACCGACGACACCTGCTGTTCAATCTGATCGTGCTTCTCCGTGGACGATCGATGATGGGCGCGCATGCAGGACGACTCCTCGTGCTTGTACAGATACGACTTCAGGGCGAAGGCCTTGCCGCAACGGCCGCACACGTGCGGCTTGGTGTTCGAGTGCGTCTGTATGTGGGCGCGCAGATTCGACTTGTCGGCGAAGGCTTTGTTGCAAATGGTGCACTTGAACGGTTTCTCGCCTACGAGAGAGAGAGAGAGAGAGAGAGTGACGAAAACACTTGTTAGAATAATATGCGGAGGTAGATATTTAAAAAAATCTGAATTATTTTTGCGTAACATGACATTTAGTCCAGCTTGGCGTAAACACGGTGTTTTCGAACGACGGAAAACTTCGACATGTGTTTCCGCGATTGAAACGACTCAATTAGTCATTTTACAATGTACCACTCGGACGTGGTGAAGGACGTAGATATATATCGCATCGCGTCGTCAACCGACTTCACAGCCGCACATCTGTGATTTGCGGTCGAAAATAGTACCGCATTCCCAACCGTGCCAAAACGGTATATTACGAGTAATTAATTTTGACTCGTCTTCATTGAAAACTTGTTAAACTCGTGTTTCTCTTATTTTCAATTAGTTATTTACAAAACACCCGGGAAAAAATATCTCTTATATGTAGCAAATTTTATACCTGATTAGTGTACGATACAATTATATGGAGATCGTCTCAATTTCAAACGTAATTACGTATAATTATTTATAACCACAGATATAACGAATTTATATATACGACTTGGACTTTTGTCTCCGGAGATTATTAATCGAGAAATACAATAAACGATGTATCAGGAGCGCGTTACCTGTGTGCGTACGTATGTGCCCCTGTAGCAGCCACGGTCTGGAGAAGCACTTGCCGCAGTAGTGGCACTTGCATCCCTGATTGTGGGTCCTCACGTGCATGCTGAACGCCGGCATGCTGACGTAAACCTTGTCGCAGTGCGGGCATCTTCTGGCCTTCTTGTCGCCGAGCGACCTGTGCGTCTGACGGTGTCTGGCCAGATTCGACGAGGTCGAGTACTTTTTGCCGCAATCGGGACACTCGTGATCCTCGTTGTCCTCCGACTTCGGCTCCGCGGTGATTATTCTTCGAGCCTGGGACGTCGCCGAGGACGAAACCGACGTCGGCGATTGTTCGATACCTGCGACAACCTTCGGAAAACTCGGTTCCTCCTGCGGGGAGGAGCAAGCGGGGTGCGAAAGACGGATGCTCAGAGCGGCGCTCTCCTCGGTACGACCCTCCAGAATTTCCCTCTCGGTCTCGATCCGCTCGAAGAAGAGCCGCGTGCGCTCGCCCAGAATCTGATCCTGGTTCACCGTCAACGGAGCGGCGGGTCGGGACGTCAGAGTTCTGCTCGTCTCCGTGGGATACTGCGCGATCCTGGGCGACACGGGTCGCTGATAAATAACATTACTGTGGTGGATGAGAGTGCCGGCCGCCGCCGCCAGGCTCACTTCCGCCAGCTTCGTCAGGTTGTAAAGTTCCTCCGGACACTCGGACGACGTCTCGCTGCCGCACTCGCTGGCGCCATCGGAAGTTGGCTGACCGCCGCTGTAATCGGCCAACCTCACGCTCCTCTCGGGACTGAAATCTGAAGGAAATTTGAAGATAAACTTTAAATTTCGTAACAACCGACAAAATATCGAGCATTATTTTTCACAGACATTTCCTCTTTTTTTAGTTAAAAATTGTGTGGAATTTTGTAATCATATTTTTTACATATAGTTTTTACATTTTTTTGCATCAAGAGAGTCTGCGGGAAATTTGAAAAATTTTTCAAATCTCTTCTATCATCTCGGACAGGAAAATCCGGCGTCGACGCGGCTCGTAAAACGCGACACACCTCTGTGAAGCAAGCAAAGAGCTCGCTGGCTGCTCCGTTTTCGGGGAGAACGGAAATAGAGTAGCTCTCTCTCCGTCACGAAACCCCCGCACGCAACGCGTCTGTAGCGCGCACGTTTATTCTGCGTATTCCGTAGGTAGGTGTCGTGTACGCGCGCACACACGTTACGTACACGTTCGTAAGAAAACCAACCCGTCTCACCCCGCGCCGGTGGGGTTGACGGCATCGCGACGGTATGCGTCTTGGTGGGTTCTGGTGACGCATCTTGGCGTCTCTCCTATTCTTAAATCCGCGCAATCTGCCACCTTAACCGCGAGCGAACAACCAGTGGATTTTCCTTACCATATGTTGTACACATCAGTTTTATTGTATATATGTAGTTTTTTTATATACACGTAATATTTATTTTTTATATTTAATATATGTTATTTTAATTAACAGATTTATTTTCAAACGTATTACGATATAATTGCTCAAGTGCAGTAGAATAAATTATTTATTCTGCTAAAACAAATAGCGTTTTTAATCTGTAGTTAAAAAAAAAAAAAACTTAAAAGATACAAAATAAACGACGTTGCATCAAAGAGTGCAAAAAGTACAATTTTGCTAATTAAATTACATACAAATTTAAAACTTGTTTGTTACATGTACTTCCCCCAATCTTTGACCGATGAGAATTGACTTTGGAAATTTACATTAAAAAAAAAAATCGTATTTATATATTCGCACCTCTTTCAGCTCCTCCGATCTCTTCCTCAGTACCGTTGTATCTCCGATGCGTGATCAGGAACGCTCGCGGCATCTTCCTCCCCCCCGTGTCTTCTCGACGATGACGATCTTCTTCAGAGCACACTGGTCATGCTTATAATCAATTCAGGATTCAAACAAACAAACAAACAAAACACACTCGCGCGCCGATTTATCTGTCTGTACAGTGAAAGAAAAAAAAAACGATGGCAATGTCTCTCTGGGCGGGAAGTTTCGAAGGTGAGTCCGGTCGCGAGATCAAGAGCAAGAGGATTTACAATCCGAGGCGTGCGTGCGTGCGTGCGTGCGGGGGTTGCGTTCGCTTCGGCAATTTCGGGCGCAATAGTTGCCCCGGCTAAGATTCGGGGCTACATATAGCAGCGCAGCCTCCCTCGCCCTTCGTCGCCGCG